TTCCTGGTACCAACGGGGTATGCAAGAGCGGCAAAACGGAATGGGGTATTTTGGGCGAATGGAGAGGGGTAACACCTTGTGACGGAGTCTGGGTACCGCGCTCGCGACGGTTGAGCTGCGCTTGAGGTATGGGATAAAACTCTACCGAAAGTACCAGTGGAGAGACCACATTGGGAAAGGTCGGTGAGGAGATGACCGTGCCTTGTATATGAGATTGCCTGAGTTTTCGTGTTTTGTATCCCCCTCTGTAAAAATGATTGCTATCTGAGCTGTTGGGTGGGGCTATGATTCTAGTCTATTCTCACCCCCTGCCTAAGTCCGCACGAGTGAGTTAAGATCATGAGACAAAGAGATAGGGGTCAGTTTGAAAGGAACCAAGAAAATGAGTTTGGGTAAAAAGGGTCGACTTGGGGAAGGATATCCAAAGGAGGTTAGGATTTGAGAGTTGGAAAGGTAAACTAGGCTAGACCTTGATGAGGGGTCTAAAATATTCTCATCCAGGACTTACGCTGATCGGACTCGAGAACTGGGGGCGGTGTTTGACTGTGAAAAACAGGGTCGGGTGTTGGGACCAAGATGGCGCGGTGGCTGTCGTCCTCAATCTATTCGAGCGGGCCGGAAACGCATATAGATGTTAGGGACGGGGTATCCGTCGTTCCGCCAGAAGGAGGAACCTGGACGGATCTAGAACCGGCGCATCAAACCATGACGTTGGGTGACAGGGATGCCTTCCTTTGGATAGAAACGTTGTGAACCAAGGTCAGCCTAACCCGGTTAACGCCAAGCCTGACGGATTTGGAATTTACGGGGACTGTGGAAGCCCGGGGCTGGATCTACCTGTCTAAGGAAGGGAAGAACGCAATGGTGGTAGACTTGGCATTAGGGATAGTCCCGTACCAATTATTCTGGCAGGCGGAACGGGAAGTGGTGTGGGTCGCGTGTCAGCGGGTGGAAATGGAAATGGAAAAGATAGATGTGCGGGTGAAACTCTGAGATAGAGGGAATGTAAGGCGACCGCTTAGGATGATGAGGTGCATCGTGCCTCCGTTCTTGGTGGATGTTGTCTTCGGGACCCAGAGTAGGCTAGTGCGGATACGTCAGTCCATGACGAACCTCGGGCTGTACCAGGGTGCCCGGCAGGACTTCTTCCGTCTATCAGTCGAAATGGGACCCTTCGAAGGGAATTGGGCAAAGGAACTAGCTGAGATACTAAACTGCCTCAGCATGGATGAAGTGTTTGTCCCGAGTTCCGTCTATTGGAAGATAGTCTATAGGAATGTGGCGATAGGAGAAATGTTTGTGGACGGGTTGAAAGATCTATGGTACGAGGAAGAGGACGATCTTACCGATGAAAACGAAGATGATGCAATCGAAGACTGGGACTTTTGAGGGAAGGGTCCGTGGGGCAGAAATGATGGGGGTGGTTGGCGTTGTGCGGGGTACCAGCATGGCTAGGGAACAACGCTTAAACAGCCGGATGTTTAGGGGGTGGGAGCCAAGACAGTTCGAGGGAGGAGTATAGATGACCCTACCCACAAGAAATGAGTGGAGAGGAGCGACTTGTGACTGGGTAGGGGAAGCAATCACATCAGAACTATCATTCCTATGGGTAGAAAGAGTATGGAACCCATTGAGGGAGAAGAAGGATTGGACAACATAGCTGAGGGAAATATAGAAGCCCTTGGGATAGTCTACTTATCAAGAAGGGGGTGGCATCTGTTCTTCGGAATGTTGGCATTTGGGCAAGACCCTATGTGGATCTTAGAAGGGGCCGAGCGACGGACTCGTGATATGGGTTACGAATTCGCCAACGAGGGATGAGATGAGGTAAGCAGTAGCGTTGCAATAGGGGGCTGGGAGGAATTCAGGCTGCCGTGCCAGATAGTTCAGGCTTGGGTGTCGCACTTTATGGCAGACTGGTTTGGAGGATACGAACACATCCTCGTGGTGGCGAAAGCGTTAGATGAAGTAAACCTGAGTTTTTCATGACTAGTCGACGCTTACTACAAAATCTCGTTAGAAATGGGGCCGTTCCATGAGGATAGGGCAAAAGAGGTCGTCGACATCCTGAAAATTTTTAAGGAAGACCGGCTCAAGGTCGACAACGGGGCCGAGGATGCGACACTTCGCCGCGAGGTGGCAGCGACCTCCTCGTATATAGGAGATGTGTTCCTACTGTTCGAAGTACTACGGGTATAGCCGAAAGATCAGCACGAAGGCAAGGGCGACAGAAAGGATGGGGTAAGAAGGCATGAGGATAGCTAGCGATGTCCAAAGGAGCGGATGAAATAAGAGGAATTCGCTTTCTGTCTGAACCATGCAAGAAACCACCAACCGGTAATGGCGATGAGACGCACCCGAACGTCGCGACGACCCACTCACCCTCGACCACCCACGGAAAGCAGTAACGGATGAGAGGTGTCGCTCCCAGCAAGCTACGTGGTCTGAGGGATTGACACAGAATGGAGAGTTGTGACCTTGGGGAGGGACCAAGCCTTCATGATGGTGGAATGCCTATGGAGCGGCATGAGCATCAATAGGGGGTGGGGAGACGACTTATACACCAACCTGAGGGTGACCGGGACCGTGTACTTACCTGAGATTGGATGGCGCATGCTAGGAACCGAGATGGCACTAGGGCATGGGTTGCTGACAATCTTCCGGAGGGCGGCTAGGGCATTAAACCGGATAGGCCAGGAAGTTCGGGGGAGAAGGAATGTGGGGCTAAGACCCCGGGTGAAAGTAGGAGGATGGCGAGAGTTTAGAGCCCCAATGGCAGGGTTGTGGTGCCGAGTACCCCGCTTTATGATAGATTTGGTATTCGGCAGTCTCTCAAGGGCAAGAGACTTGGTGAACTCGACCCTAACCTGAATTCACCATTTCCAGCCACAAACGACAGGAATGTTTTACGATGTGTCGGTAAAACATTGGCCGTTTCGGGGAAATCGGGTCCGTGAATTACTATAACTCATCGAGATCCTGATATTTGGGGCGCCACTCGTGGCCTTTGAAGAATATGAACCGATAATTATCAGAGAAATAGGAATGGGGGAAAACTACCTTGTTGGGGTGGCTAGCCTATTTGAAGAACCCGACGAATAGGACGGGCCTGAGGAACCGGTATGAGAAAAGTGTCGGGGAAGGTGGCAAAGGTGAACGCTAACTATGGGATGATAGAGACAAGAGCAAGAATAGCGATCTGGGGGGGGGGTAGTGGCTGGAGTCCTACGCCATCTAAGGGTGTGCCAGATAGGGACTAGGATGGCCACTACTACCAAGGACGTCAATGGTATCCATAGGCTGGAAGGCAAAAAGGTCATCTTCGAAAGGACCCACCCGCCATGGACACGCCGCCTTAGAACCGAGGTACGGTGATGACAAAACACCGAAACCCGGCAACAGGCTTTCTGACAGTAAAGGCAAGCGGTACCCCCGCAAAGTGAAGACGGACAGGCCTGCTACCGCCACTACAAAATAGAAAATATTGAAATAGCAAAGGTAGGGCGACTGAAGCCAGCCTTAGGGCCTAGAAATCTGGAAAGCTGTGAACAACTGGCCATCTCAGAATTTTTTGTTTTCCTATGTGCAGAATTAGAAAAGGATGGCGACAGAAGAGGAAGCAGGAAGCCTGCGAAGCAAGGGGAGTTAGGACACAGAGAAGGACATAGAGCAGAACGAGGGGTTCATGAGGGACCAAGAATCAGTTAATCCAGAAGGTACGAAGGAAGGAAGAAAGGAAGTGACAACCGGGGAAAGCTCGGGAAAAAATGGAGGGAGCAAACGAGGAACTCAGGAAACTAGGGGAGACAAGAATAAAGGCAGTCCGACGCCACGAGCATCTGAGGGCGCATTGTCAAAGAAGGTAAGGCTAACGGACACTCGAAAAAAACTAGCCGAGATAGAAAGGAGAACGACGGAATATAAAGCAAAACTCCTGGAAGAGATGATGAACGAAGGCGAGGGGGACTTTACCGGAGAAGGGTTGAATGAAGATCAAGGAACAAACCAAGGGCGGGGGAGCCAAGAGGGTACTATAAAAAAGAGGAAGGATAAGGTTGGGGAGCGTAGGGAGATGCCAACCAAGAAAGGAAAGGAGAAAACGGAGTCCCCAGGGAGGGAGGCGGAGAAGGCTACCAACCCGCCGACCATAGACAGTGGGGCAAGCCGACCAGCGGTTTCGCCCATAATCGCAAGGGGATGCGAAGGGTTTCGGAGCTTAAGAGAAAGGGTGCAAGGCTGGTTCGACCCGGAAGGGACGACAAAGCCCGGAGAAGGATCGAGAACCGATAAAGAAAAACAAGGCTAGGGCACCCCCAATGGAACAAGAGGAACCGAGGGCGGGCTTAAGAAAATGGTGTCTTCCCTCACAAGGGCGCTAAATAAAAATCAGGGACACCTGGTCGACGCCAAGAAGAAGCTGACATTCGACGGGGCTAATATCACGAAATTCTTGATGGACTACTAAAATTTGGCAGCACTACTAAGGTGGAGTGAGGAAGAAAAGATAGAGCACTTAGAGCAACATGGGTCGTTGAACCTAGGTAAGGACATAATGGTTATCGACGCGACCAGCGGATCCTAGAAGGAGGCCCGGGACGTAATGATGCGGAAATATCTGGCAACCGAGAAAATGGCTACGGAAATAGAGCTGGTTGTAGTACAAAGAAAGAACTTTGCGACATATAACGATTTCCTGAGGGAATTCACCCTTGTAGCATTGCGAATCCCGGGGATAACCGATCGCATAATGAGTAAATACTTCCTCAGGCAATTCATCGAGTTCAACAAAGATAAAATCCTATTGGCCTACCAGCAGACCACGGAGTTTATGAATACACGGGACGTCGACTTCAGCACCGTGACAGACATTGCTGAGAAGATGGTTGTAACCGACTCATTGGCCTTACTGAAAGAAGGAGAAGTCATAGACCTAACCGATAAAACGGGCGAAAAGGTAAAAAGAGGGATATAAAGCCTGCATGAGTGTGTCCATGGGGTAGACGGAAAAATCGAAACGGTAGAGAACGGATTGATGGTAATGCAAGCCCAAGTGACGCAAACCCAAGCATCTCGACCCCCCCTCCCACCACAAGAGGCGGTGGTTCCCGCAAGAATAACTAACCGGGGGTTCAATAGGAGAGATCCGACAAATGAGCAATGTAAGTATTGTACGATGGTCGGACACTTTGTGCGAGCGTGTCCAAGACTTAACTATGATATCATGCACAAGAGGTGCTCTAGGACGTTACGAGGAGAGATCATAGGCCCCCGAGGAGAGAAAGTGAATTGGAACTCCCCGGGTGGGATGCGTCGGGCCGTAATCGCACTTAACAACCTCAACGTCTCCACGGTGGAGGCCGAGCCCGTGGCGGAGCTCGCCTGGGAACAGGCACGAGGACGTGGGCCGCAGGCCAATTTTATTTTAGCGAATGACTGGCGAGATAGAGCGAACGTGACCACAAGGCAACGAATAGCAGAAAAGAAGGTCGTACAAGACGCCATCATGGAAGACGTCGGGGATGGCCCGGGGATGCCACAAGAAGTTGAGGCACAGGAGCAAGAAAAAGTTTATGGGAAACCTAGAGAAGAGGCTCCGGTAGACAAAGCTGCCTCGACCAAAAAAAAATTCCGGTATCAGATCCCCATTCTAACTATGCCCGAGATCGATGACACCCTTAGCAAGCTGTTGGGGACCATGGTGTCGGTCTCTTTCCAAACCATGTCGCAGGCAAGCTCCAGGCTCCTGAAAGGCCTTAGACAACTACTGACGAGGCGAAGAATAGAGGTAGAAGAAGGGTCAGAACAACAGGAGGAAGAGAAGGAAGAGGAGGCACCAGGAGAAGTCGCCAACTTCCAAAGGATCCCCGAGGATCTAGATGAGCTAGAGAAGGTCTTTGCAGACATCCGGCTAAGCCTGCCAGACCGTGAAGGTGGCGAGGTTATGAGGGCACCACTAGGGACAAAACTTAGCTTCCACGCACTACCGGTGGGTAAGCTGAAAGTCCAGATTGCAAGCCACCACACTGATGCGCTCGTAGACGGAGGGGCTGAAATAACGCTCATTAGAAAAGACTTTGCAAAGATTACGGGATGCCCAGTAAACAAAGAGACAACGAGAAACGTCCGTGGGGCAGGCGGGGAAATTCCCTTCTCTGGGTATGTTACTAAGTGCGCAGTCAAGGCCGGGGTTAGGGAGTCCATTTGGTCGTTCCAACAGATGACTGTCATGGACGGAATGGACCATAACATAATCCTTGGGAGACCTTGGTGTGCGAATGTAGAGATGATCGGAATGCACCTGCATGATGGAACATACATGGTGGACATAGAAAACCCGGTGACAGGTCGTGGTGAGCTACTCCGTCGCATCGGGACAGGCGGTGACACGCCAAAAGGGAAATTAGCAACATGGTCACCATCGTTCGAAGAGAGTGTCAGAAAGGGGGCTTTCACATGAATGCAAGGAATGAGGGAAAGGGTAGAAATTATGATCGAGGAGGCGTTCAGCAAGAAAGAATGGGTCAAGATGGGGTTGCCACAGAAAAAGCGGAGGCAGGAGGACGATGCCCTGAGAGAGAGTAATGGTAGTGGAGAAAGAGACGGAGGTCGAATTGGGAGCCAACTTGCCTAGACCAAAGGAGGCCCAAGAGGAGGAGACCGGAATAACACTGGAAGTCCCGGACTTACTACACTTCATCAAGGCTATCAGATACCATAAGGTATGTGTGGATCAAACCGCGCTCGCCAAGTTTGAAGGATAAGTCCAAAAAGGCTACTGCCTGAATGGGAAATTAATTAGTATCCAGCCTCGGATTGCCAAAGCACCTCGGGCAATTCTGGCTGTTCATTTTTTAGGAGAAAGATCCCAGAAGGAAGCATTCGCAAGTACAAGCCCGTATAGAAGAAGGCCAAGCCTGTCTCGGTCCTGCTCGAAACAACAAAGGAAGAAGTCAAGGAAAAGGAGGAGGAAGTGCTCCGGGCGATTAGAGAAAGAAGGGCAACAAAGGGGCATCGAATACCAGACGAGGTAGCAGAGACCATAAAGATAGGGGTGGAGGGATTCTTGACAGAGCAGGAGACATGCTTGATCAAGGAAACATGCTAAGAATTTAACCTAACTTTTGCCTTCAACGATCATCAGAAGGGACGATTGGACGCGAAATTGATACCTCCAGTCAGGATCCATACAGTCGAGCACGAATGTTGGAATGACAGGGGGCCATCCTACTACTTTGGAGTCGCAGGGGACGTAACAGAACTGCTCAGAGCAAAGATGAACTCCTTTGTGGTAGAACCCACCGCGTCACCATACGTGAATAGATGATTCGTGTTCCGGAAGCCTAACAAGTCGCTTAGGTGGATCCAAGATCTGCAGAAATTGAATGTTGTCACCATCCGAGACGCGGGATCATTGCCTCAAGCCGACCAACTGGCAGAATCTCATGCCGGGTGAAGCATTTACTCATTGGTACACCTCTATTCTGGATATCATCAGCTCCCGCTCGACGCCCGGGATAGACCCTACACGGCTATGCATACCCCGGTAGGTCAATTACAAATGCAAGTGACTCCTATCGGTTTCACCAATGCTGTGGCGAAAGCACAAAGAAGGATGCTCGCAGTCGCAGGAGATATGTTCCCCGCAAAATGCGAACCGTACATTAACGACAATCCAATCGAAGGCGCACGAGACAAGGATGAAACGGAAATTCAACCAGGGATACGGAGGTTTGTGGGGGACCACCTGCAGGATATCAAAGAGCTTCTTCGCAGGTTCTTGGAATACAACATCACTTCCAACGGCCCCAAAAGCATCCTGGCAATGCTGGAAGTAACCATCCTAGGATTCCGCTGCGGGTCATATGGGAGGAAGCCCGATCTGGCCAAGACGGATAAAATCTCTCAATGGCCAACACCCCTGCGAACCACAACGGAGGTAAGGGCCTTTCTAGGGGTTGTAGGATTTTGGAGGATTTTCATCAAAGGATTCGCAAAGATAGCCGAACCCATTCGGGCCATGATCCGCGATGAGGGCGCTCGATTGGACGGACGAACGAGAACGCACCGTCCAGACCTTGAAAGACATATTGACATCTGAACAGGTCACCCTTACCGCTCCATGTTTTAACGATGAGGTAGGGCGTCCGTTTGTGCTTGAGACCGATGGGGGACCATTAGTAGTGGGAGGAGTTCTGATCCAAAGAGGGGAAGATGGAAAAGAACGACCAATCGGGTTCGAGAGTAGGATTTTGAACTCAGTCGAGCGTCGCTACTCGCAATTCAAGAAAGAAGTGTTGGCTGTTCTCCACTGCCTTAAGACCTTCCAAGCCTACCTCTTTGGGAGGAGGTTCATCTTGAGAATAGATCCGGCAAACGTCGCAGAGGCCCTAAAGAATTACAAGCCTATAGACCCCTCCGTGGGAAGATGGGTGGGGTTCATTTGGCAGTTTGACTACAAGATCGAGCGCATAACCGGTCTCAGGAACAGGGCCGGCGGCTAGAGCAAGGTGTGCATTACACCGGAAGGAGTAGAGGACGCAGAACCTACCGATGCGTTCTTCGACTACGAGGGAGGGACCCTTGCGGTAGAGAACGAAATGATAGAACCCGCTTGCACAACTTAGGGTCTCCCGCAGTGGTGGCAGAACTCAGGGAAGGGGCAGTTACAAGAACCGACCACAAGGAAGAGAAAGACTTGCGGGGTGATATTGTGGGGCCTCAGGAAGAACTGATGGCGATGGTTGTAGAAGGAGGGCGAGAAGCGGTTATGAGTTTGGTTGAGTCATGGGAACAGAAGCAGCAACAGTACTTAGTAAACCAAGTGCAGAATGAACAGGAGGATCGTCGGGATCAGAAGGAATTCTTCCTTATTCGATCGTACGATAGCATCTTCAAGGAGATCGGTTTATTACTTGTGGGAAACAAGGAGGCTCAAAAGGTCAGCCTCAAGGCTAGAGAGGAAGCCGATAAATACGTACTAAGAAATGGGCACCTATTCAGAAAAAAGGAAGGCCTAATGCCTAAAAGGGTTGTATGTGGACGATCAAAGCAAGTTGACATAATTTAGGCAATGCATGATGGGTTGGCAGGGGGACATCGCTCCTCAAAACGAACCCTGGCCAAAATAGTGCCACTCTACTTTTGGCCGAGAATGGGGAGTATGAATGCCACATACTGCCAGACCTGCTTGATCTGTCAAGAGCAGAGTACGACTCGAGTCTTTGAGCCCCTGAGACCCACGCGAGTGCTAGGACCAGGGCACCTGATTCATCTCGACCTCGTAGTCATGCCTATATCCACGAAAGGATACAGATACATACTTGACGCTAGAGATAATCTCAGCGGGTTTGTGGAGGCGGTGGCCCTTAAGAAGAAAACTGGACCGGCAGTAGCAAATTGGATCGATGACTTTTACCTGAGGCACCCATTTATCATAAGATTTATAGCTGATAATGAGACAAAATTTGTGAATCAAGACGTGTTGGGTACATGCAAGAGACTCGAGGTACCCATCAAGTTAATTGAGCCATACCACCCCGAAGATAATGCACCCGTGGAAAGAGGGCACAAGACTTTGAAGAACACGATCGCAAAGTTAGCAGTAGACGATTTTGGAAACTGGCGAAAGTACCTCAAGCAAGCAGTGTTTGCAGAAAATGCGACCCCAAAGAGGACCACAGGATGTATTCCAACCGAATTGTGGTATGGGAGGGAAATTGACTTCCCAGTAGAATCCCTGGTAACAACTTGGGGCAGGCTGAATGACGACCCACGCCTGACGACGGAACAGTTAATTGAGACCAAATGTCGATAGATCATTCAAAATGAGGAGGCAATGGAAGAAGTCGTAAGCCGGGTTCTGGATAGCAGAATGAAGGACAAGGCAAGATGGGATCAGCTGCGGAACATCAGAAAAGAACCACTACAGGTGGGAGAAATGGTCCTAGTCAGGAATTCCGCACTAGAAAGTACTTGGTCAGGACAACTGGGGAGAAAATTCAAGGGCCCCTACCGGGTTGCCAAGAGACTGGGGGTGAACACTTTCGAGTTGAAAGATTTGGATGGGACCAGGGTAAATGGACCATTTCCAGGACAATGGCTGGTTAGATTCCTAAGTCGCAACCTAGTGGAACAGTGGTTGCAAGAGGCTCAAGACAAGGAAACAGGTGAACAAGGCGACTAAGGCGCCAACGAAAATCTTACCCATGATGTGGTTTGTGTTTTTGGGGATGAGTTTCTGACTGTGCTTATGGATTGCATGGGGTGAGTGATGCGGCCGGGGTACTATACCGTAGTTTTTTGGGGGATAATGTTGGATGGAGGTTGAGGCATTGTACCATAGTTTTTTTTTGTGTGAGGGATGAATGGTATCGGGATGATTGTCTGGGGCAACCTATCGCATTCGAGAAAAATGCATGAGATTCAAAGGAGACACGAAACGATTCATCATATGGATATGGAGTGCATCCTTGGAAATTTGGGCAACTCCGGCATCATGAGGAAATAGGGTTTTGGGTTCTGCTATTACTTGGACGGGGCTCCACCTTGGGAATTTGGTCTGGGGCTTCTGTTTTCCTTGTGATAATAGGCACAGGGAAAACACAAGACAAGATGGAACTTAATAACGAGAACGATGTAAATCGCGCTAACGTAGCTTTCAAAGATGAGTGGCAAAGAACCGAGAGGCCACGAGACAGGCAAAGACCAGTATTATTCATTGTGCCACAGCCAAGACGGACACTAGGAAGCAGAAAGAGAAAGACGTTGGCCCGCAAACCTTCGCCCCTTAAAAAAGGCGAGAAATTGCAACCCTTGTCCGAAGAAGAAGGGGAGATACAAGGAGCGGAGGAGAGAAGGGAGGAAGAAAGGCAAGGTATGCGGGACAATGGGGAGAGAGGAGGAAGCAAGACAAAATGAACATGACAGCGGTGAAAGAAGAGGCGAGGAAAGGGAAAATGCGCATGACGATTGGGAAAGAAGTGAGGGAGCGGAACAGAGCAGGCAAGACAGTTTTGAAAGGGGGTGCACGGGTTTTGGGGACGAGCCCGAAAGAAGGACGAATATCCCATACATTTTGAATCCGGAAAACTTTATAGGTGAATTCAGTCTCGTACAAGAGGAAGAGGATGAGAGTGAGGATGAAGTGCAAGAAGTCATTGCCATCAGTAGTGGCGATGAAATAGATGAGATCTCAAGGCCTCGGGCTGAGGGGCAACCTTCAACAAGTGGGCCAAGAGAAGGACCCCCGGGTGGGAAGAGGAATTCGTAGCCCACACCCAGTCATTGGTTCGTGCAATGGATAAGCGTGATTAAGCATGATTGGATTATTAGAACCCGGAAACTAATGAGGGCCTGAGTGGCGGTTACACCTCTGGACTTTTACAGTGAGGAAGAACTGCGAGAAATTGCACAGAGGAAAAAAGAAATCATGGCCGCCGGCCTAAGAGCCGAAGGACCAACCAGGCGCGACGACGAACGGGCACCCAAGAGACAAAAGACTGATGACCCAAGGAGGGACTAAAGATGAGGCAAAAGTTTGGCGAGAAATGTTTTTTTTTGCAATAGGTAGAGAAAAGATTTGACTAGTATGAATGAGCTTGTTGAAGGCAAATACGATAGGGACAAGTCAAGACCTTAGCTTAATAGGCAAGAAAACAATATTTGAGCTACTTTTTTGGATGCGCTACCTCAGATGGATCTTGAGAGAAAGACATTGGCAAGGGACACAGGGTATGAGACTAGCTCGATGAGACAATTGTGAGCTTTGGACAAGACAAAGATTGTACCTTGGATGGGAATTATGAATATGGATGAATTGAGCACGAAAAAAACATTGAATGACAGACGAGTACAAGAGAGGTTAGGGAACCTATGGATAGAGCGACACGAGGATGTCCTCTCCTAGGAGCCTAATCTGACCAAGTCAGGGTCATGTCACAAGGGACAAAGTTGTGAGAGTGAGCAAGAGTGAAAAGGACAGAGGGACTCGAACTTGATCTATGGTTGACAGTTGGGGGGGCTAGCACCGGTTGAGGTTGAAAAACCTCCGCTTGGGTGCTAGACGCTAAGTCGGGTGTATGAATGAGGATGATGGAATTGAGCAAGACTATGTTGAGAATAAGAAGAAAGATACGACACGTTGAAAATTGCAAAGATGGCAGCCTCCTAACTCCCCAGTAAAAGATCGTATTCGTGTCCTCAAAGCCCATCCCCTCGGACGCTAAGCATTGAGAATGGAAAGGAATGACCTTAATCAGGTTGTTCGACTTGAGAATGGAAAGGCATGACCCTAACCAGGTTGTTCGACTTGAGAATGGAAAGGAATGACCCTAACCAAGCTGTTCGACTTGAGAATGGAAAGGAATAGCCCTAACCAGGCTGTTCGACTTGAGAATGGAAAGAAGTGGCCCTAACCAGGCTGTTCGACTTGAGAATGGAAAAAAATGACCCTAACTAGGTTATTCAAGAATGACCCCTAACAAGGGTTGTTTCTTCTGAAATAGGCACTTGGGTCCCCTTGCATGACTGCTTGAGAAAGGCTGATTGAGAATGAGCTGGAATGAGAAAAATGTGAAAAGGAGAAGGTCGGTGGGTCGGTCATTGAAATAGCCATAAGGAAGGATGAAAGAGAATAATATGAGAAGGAAAAAGGTCGGAGAGTTGGTTGTCGAAATAGCCGTGAGAAAGGATGAAAAGGACGGGTGTGAAGGGAAGAGGCCGAGGGGAGGGTCACTAAAACAGCCTTGAAATAAGATGGAGAAGAGAAGAATTGGAGGGCAGGATAAAAGAAGGCGGATATCAAAATGAGAAGGACATGGACCGCCGGGCAATCATAAGGGATGGTTATTGAAAAAGTGAAAATTGAGACGAAAACGATGAACCGACGGGTCCGTCATGAGAAGTGGTCTATTGAAAAGAGGCCGCCAGATTGGCCACAAGGGGTGGCCTTGTTGAAAAGAGGCAGTCAGATCAGCCATGAGAATCAACCTTGAAAAAAAGTTGGGAAGAGCATTGGATTGAGCATTTGCCTGAGAATTGGAAATTGCATTGCATTAACAGGGGACCCTAGACAATTTGAAAAGAGGTCGTAGATCGACCATGGAAATAGCAAGAGATTGAGGCTTCCTTCTTCGTCTGGTCTCAGGACTCAGCATGAGGGGGATAGTGGTGCACGCACCTCGACCCCGAGACCTCTACCCCGTAGGAGAATGTCCAAGTGCGACCTGCCCCTTGTAAGCAGGGCACCAGGTTAAAGGATCAGGGCATCGGTCCCAGTACTCGACATCCGGAACCAACTCTGACAATGAGCTCTAGTCGGAAGGTTCAAATCGCGCCTCTCGTTGAGTTCCTTAAACGTCCAGAGCGTCGAGATGGGCCGAAAAGTTGCTCTTCTAAGTCTTGATGACCCTCTCTAACCACACGCCATGTCGTTGAGGGGCGGCCTGGCCGTTTGGGATGGACCTAGGATGCTCGCGCTAAGTCAAGCGGCACTATCCACAGCGAAGGTCAGGGTGCGGTATCGGGTGGAGTCCGCCACCACCACAGGGCATTGACACCGCCCGGCAAGAGCATTACAACCGTTCCGGGGACTAACCACGAGGTCTTCATAACTGCACTTGCAAACTTATAGAGAGTCCCAACTCTCTTGATAAGGAAGAGGCCGAATCCACAAAACTTACCACTTGGGAGGAACGATTCGCAAGGGAGCCACTTATGGTATGATGGGGTCCTGGGAGACGTGGACTAGACCCGCCTAACAAATGCGAGGAGGTACCTCAATGATGATGCCCATCTCCAAAGTAGTGGCTGCAGGACTAGAGTAGAGGATTGAGTGAGTTATTAGCAGGGGGAGGACTGATCACCCTTCCTTTTTTAGGCTGATGAGCCGACATCCGTCTACTTAGTTGGCAGGCAAGTTCTGTGTACCTCCAAGTGAGA